TGGGGGGCATACCTCACTAAACCCCTTCGTTCCCTCCTGGCCATTGTGTGGGACGCCACGGGATCGCTAAGTAGAGAAGTGCCTATGTCAACTCCCTATAACAACGAATAATTAAGATTTGTAGAAATATAATTTATTATATAGACTGGAGTCTAAGAATGCTTGAAATAATTTAGAGTCAATTTAGATCTGAAGTACTACAAAGTTCGGAAGTTTAAATTACTTGAAAATTTACGCTTTAAAATTTATAAACACCTTAATTACCAGTCTGATAAGATTTAAAATTGACTGTCGGTGAATTTCTGGGATTAAAGTTTTAGTATTAAAACAAATTGGATAAAACAGTTCTCAAGAAACGATTTTGTCCAATCGAATTCTAAAATAAAAGATTCTTTTTAAGTTAGTTTTAAATTTTCAATGTAAACAGTTCTTTATTTATTGATGAAAATATATTTAAAGCGAATTAACTGATCCGTAAAATAATTAAGATTCTCTAGATAGGCAACAATTCAACCGATTCAAACAAACTAACCGAGAGAAATTGTTGCTCCTTTGGCTTGGAAATACCAAAGCAGAAATTCTCAACATAACTATACCGGTACAAGGAAGAACTCTTACTATTATAGCATTTACTCGTAGAAATTATATTATGCTTTCAATTCCTTTGTAAGAAGCAGGAATTAAAAATCAGCAAAGGTTTCCATTGGCGAAAAACCTATACAACAACTCCTTCATCCAAATCTATACTTCTATACTAATATAATAAAGCGTAAACACACACTACTTTGTGGCGTAAGATATCAGCAAAAAAAGCATATTTTGAACAATTCTTTCTTTAATAAAAAGCCCTACACTTACAACACGCTTTAGGCTCTATATTTTTGGATAAAAACCTTAATGTGGGAAAGAAACCATAAGTTACTGCCAACATCAAAAAAAAGCAAGGTTGCCATGGTTTGACAACATGTCATGTCATTTTGACATTTGCAATTGATAATCTGACAAATGTGAATAAAATGAAATTTTTATAATTTTATGCAGATGAAGTCGCATGGGAACAGCTAGTTGATTAATAAAGTGTTTATAATTAGAATAGTGTTGAAAACATATAGATTACTAATTCAATTTTATTAATTCACCGTAGACGTAGTCGCGGGCGTGAGCTAGTCTTATCATAATCTTAATCGTATGAATATTGTCTACAAAACAAAGTATGGTAGTATTTCACTGTTTATTGATAAAAAAAAAACATCTTACAATGTGTATTGGAATTGGATAAACATGATACCGAGGGCCATTGTGATCGGAATATATTGTGATTCCACGAAACTCGACGAAATTGCTTTTGCCTTACAAACAGATTTCAATAGAGATCATCTCTATTACCTTTTCATTTCCCAAATTCGTGAATAATACTTTCATTCAGAGATTAAAAAATCAAGTAATCGACATCTACCATTCTCTTATTCGCAGTTTTTAATTCAAACTCAAATATTAAAATACAAATTTAAAATAAAATCGAAATTTGCTGAGACGTTTAGGGCCTGTACACACAGACTAAGCATAGCAAAGTATTTTTATTAGTTGCGATAATCTGCTCCGCGCTACTCTACGGTCTGAACCGACCCTTAATCATCACCAAGGTATAATTAGAAAAATATAAAACCAATATCGAACAGACACAACTATTAGTTTTAGTAATTTAGGACAACTCAAATGACTAAAGCTAATTTCACATTCCAATTCAAATATAACATCAAATTTTAACATCAAAGCCTCAATCAAAATATCATTTACAGGTCCTTAGAATGTTATGAATAACATTACTTACAAAATAAGCCTATTACGTGGAACGACAATTCGGAGAACAATTTTCTTCGTGAATGTACTTAATAAACGTTGTTTATAACCGCTTTATTAGTAGTCATGTAGCTCAGAAAAAAAGATCTGCAGATCAGCTCACGGTTCACGAAGATCAGTGAATCGGATCACAGCTCGGCTCAATGGTACCTACACAGAGGTATGAGTGTCACCGGATAATGCAGTCCAACTTTCATAGTTATAGTATACAGCGTTGAGCTGCAAATTTAGTAATTGATCTACAGCTCAATGAGTCAAAGCTGTATGAACAGATCTTTTGTACCGATTCTAAGCTGATTTACACACGTCTATCCATTCATCATCGTCATCCTTATCCTACTCCCGTAGTGGCAACAGGTTTTTGTCCTCTAAATTACTCTATCATACGTCATCACAGTCCCTCCCTTTTTGATCATATCACCTTTCACGCAATCCATCTCTATTCATTAACATCACTAAATTGATTAAAACTCACGGAACATTCATTCATCTTATAACCGCATTTGCTATCTAATTAGTCGACTTATAGTTTTCTATTCTAAAAGAATAAACTGAAAATATAACAGAAGGTAACAATGAAGTAATAAACATTACAATAAGTAAGTTTCTTACTTTTTTTTAGTCCAAAATTACTGGACCGACCGGCTTGGTCGGTCTGTGTTTTGATTTGTGATAATGATTTCAAGTCCATTCGACTATTACCGTTTACCTAGCGTAAACCTTACTATAACTTAAGGTGGCAAACGATTAAGCGGCCGCCTGAATCCGCCAAAATGGCGAAGCAACCGCTGCCCATAGACATCCGCAACTGCAGATGCGTTGCCCACCCTTATGCAACAGAGGAGGAGACGCATATAAAGGGGATATCCCCCTTCCGTCAAATCTACTTCCCCTTCCCATCCTCTCCTTATAAGAAAAGGGTGGTAAAGATAAGGGACTTAAATTAGGCCTCCGTATTAGCAGGAACTACATATATTTTAAAATTCACCTCACAATTTCTCACAACACAAGTAATTCGTCGGAATAATTCTACAAAGCACTCACGTTAAACTATAAAGTTGGGATCATTTCACTCACTGTGGCACAAATAAACACGTAGGCCTTGATCCTTTAAGGTCCACAAAACAACAAGGTCACATTTAATACGTTAAGTTGTGACCTTTCATGGTTTATTTTCTAAAACATATTGTGGCTAAAACCTTTTTCACGCTGAGTATTTGATTAGTTTTTTAAATTATTAGCAACATTTGTAATTACTGAGATGTTTAAACCAATAAAGTTTTGCGCTAAATGCACATCATCATCTCCCCTGCCTTATCCTCCTCCTGTAGGGTCGGCGCACCGGGTTTTCGTCCTCCAAAGCACTTTATCATCCGTCATCTCAGTCATCACTCCCTTCACTTGCGCTAAATGCACACTTACAATTATTATTTTACTATATATCTTTGAAATAATTAAATCCGTTAATGATGATAAATTGACCATCAAATGTCATAATTAAATAATTACATAGGAAATAGTGTTTCACATGTTTAATAAAAATACTAGCTTTCGCCCGCAACTCCGTTCGCGTGGAATTAAGAAACGAAAATTAGTAGTCTATGTGTTGTTCCAGACTATCCTCTACATCTATACCAAATTTCATCGAAATCCGTTCAGCCGTTTAGGCTACAAACTCTAACAAACATCCATCCATCTAAACTTACACATTTATATTAGTTTGATGGGAGGAATCTCCTTAAATGGTTAAGTGGGACCCCTAACTGATTTAATAAAAGAAATCTGCACTAAGGGACTTCTAAAAGTGCGTCGCTAAAAGTAATAATTAAGCACATAATTAAAAATCGCCACCGTTAGTGTATGAATTTTGTTATGTTAAATTCCAGGACAAAAGGTCACAAACAGTGTCGCGGCCAAATTTCCGCCGACGTCACAAACGTCGACATTCGCGGCGCTCGAATTGTTTGCTTTTGATTAAATTTTCAGCACTTAAAGCGATGAAAGCGGACAAGTTTTAAATAAATCTATTCAATTTGTAACTAATTATTATTATTTATTATAATTTTACAGATATACATCCATTATTTTGTTAGTAAAATTTGACTTAGTCTAAGTTAGTATTGTACATTTAAAATAGATCATATACTTATACTAGTGCACATGGACATTTACCCAGTGCTTGTAGACTGGGCTGTCCATGCGACTCCCAACCACCTCCAGGATAGTGTTGCGGCTGCCGCGCACCCGCGCCATCAAGGATGCTATGCGCTTGCGCCGGATCGCGGCAAAGCCATCCACCCGCGCCTCCGCAAACATCCCCGACGCGCTGCAGTAGCGCGGCAGCCCCAACAGTGCCCTGAAGGCGTTGTTATATTGCACACGTAGGGCGCTGTACGCGCGCTGGCTAAACTGACACCATAAGCTGCAGGTGTAAAAAGATTGACAATATGCTCTGAACAAGATTAGCTTTACACCTTTCGAGCACGCTGCGAACCTCCGGATGATCATGTTGCTTCTTACGGCCAGCGCCCTACGTTCTCTTTCGATATCATTATCATCTGTTTGGGTCGCAGTTAGCCAATGACCCAGATATTTGTATTTCGTGACAGTTTTTATGCGCGTGCCGCTTAGGGTAACCGGCGGTATATTCAAGTAACATTTGTTACCCGCCGGAAACACCAACAATTCACTTTTAAGCGCATTATATTTAAGGCCATGAGCTATTGCGAAATTCTCGCAAATATGGAGTAATTTTCTGAGTGCACTGATCGATGGGGCCAGCAGCACCATATCATCGGCATAATTAATGTTATTTATAAAAGTCCCATCGATTGAGCAGCCGACCATGGAACCGCTGAGCGCACCAATCAACCGATTCACATACAGACTGAAGAGCTTTGGTGACGTCAGTCCACCCTGTCTCACCCCGCACTCCAGTCTATACGAATCGGAAAGTGAGCCCGCCCATCGAACCGCGTTGTCCTGATGAGTGTACCAGTATTTGAACAGTTCAATTAACTCATCTGGCATCGTGGTGTCCTCGTATAGCTTCTTCCACAAAACCCCATAGGACACCAAGTCGAAGGCCTTTGACAGGTCGAGGAAACACGCGTACACCGGTGTTTTTCTATCAGTATAGTATTTTACAGTATGCTTGACACAGAGGATAGCTGCTTCAGTGGATAAGCCCGCTCTGAACCCGAACTGAGCGTCATGGATCGAAAGATGTTTACTAAGTTGTTTGTCAAGCATACTGTCGAATACCTTCGCCACTACGGTGGCCAGCGAAATGGGCCTATAGTTATTTGCGTCAGAAGCATCACCAGAATTATTTTTTATTATTGGTACTACAATTGTTTTCATCAACGCGTCAGGCAAGTACGAGTGCGCAATACAAAAATTTATAAACATAGAAAGTACCCTGGGCAAATGCGAGCCGGCGTGCTGAAGATGTTCAATGCTCAGAGAGTCATGCCCAGGGGACTTTCCCCGTTTCATCTGTCTAATCGTTTCAGCTACCTCTTTGGCTGTAAATCTAATATGATAATGTTCACTTGTTTGTACCTCGGGCCTGTCATCAACTAATACTAATGGAGATTTAATAACAAATTTATTTTTGAATAGGTTGGCGATCGAGGCGGGCTCACTAACGCCATCAACGCTCACGGGGAGACCTGTCTTGACATTCAAAGCATTGGTTTTTCTCCAAAAGTTAGGAAAGTCTTTATTATCATGACAGGAAACAATTCTGTCCATCCTTATTTGTTGCTGATTGTTTTGACACCATTTCAGTTTATTTTTAAAAAATCTCTTTGTTTTTCGCATTTGATCGTAAGCTAAACCCTCTTTGGGCCTACCATGCCAAACCCATGCTTTAAAGCCCAGCCGAGCCTCCTCGTAAGCTTTCCGTACATGCTTATTCCAACCAGTCAAGTATCTTCTTTTGTTATATAAAGTTTTGTTTTTATAGCTATGACATGCAGCATCCTTCAGGACTTGTGTAATATCATTATACATTTGGTCTATAACGCGTCTATGGTCCAAGTTATTACAAATCTTGTCACTACAAAATCTAAAGTCACACGGAAAGTCAATTGTTTTTAACCTATTTTTACAAAATTCTTTATATAATTCTATCTGTTTAAAGTCTCGAATCCCCCACACAATTTTATTTAATTTATATACACATAAGTCGTTACCATTTTTAAATACATCTAAATTACACCTAATTTTTAACGGAAAATGGTCAGACCAAAATACATCATGCATAATGCTCACTGCAGTTACAGATTTCCAAGCCGTTTCAGACACCAAACAATGATCTAACCAGCTGTGGGTACCGTGGGCCTCACTGACATACGTATAGGCTTTAGAATTATATCCTAAAAATTCAATATCTGCACATCGCCAGTCTAGTTCTGTACAAAAGTTGATTAGTTCATTACCGAAACACGAAGAAGGGTTTGCGTTAAAATCGCCCAAAACGTACACGGAACCTTCACCATTATCTTCAACGACGGCGGCGATTTCACCCATACACTCTGTAAATTCCATTAAATTTTCTGGTGAATCTGTAGGCATATAGACCGAGAACACCAAAACATTCCGACCTCCTAAGTTTATTTTAATAGCCGTTACGCGAACACTGTTGCACTGTATTACGGATACATCCGTAAAAATACTCTTTTTCCACAGTATTGCGACGCCTCCGTACGGGCGGCCGCGTAGTACACCTACACTGGTGTCGACTGCGGACTTCCCGGTGAAACCGAAGTCAGGATCAATGTTGGCCAGTGTAGGAATATCATGAGGCAGTAGCCATGTTTCCTGCAGTGCTATTATGTCTGCCTCTCGGCATAAGCGTCTAATACATTCTTCAGAACGCATAACCGATTTACAATTAAAACTAATCATATTTATACTATTCATTTTGTTGTCCATCATAAACATTTGATTTTAAATTCACGTCAATATTTTGCCTTTGGTCATAAGTAGCTCTGTTAAAATATATAAAACGGCGGAATTGAATTCCTTCCGGCCATAAGTCGTCACTCAGAAAAACAGATAACTTGTCGTGTGGTACAAAAATTTTATAAGCGTCATAGCGTTTTTGTCGGATCATGTTAATTTTCTTTATGGACACGGAGATATTAGTTTTCTGCGATATGTAGTCACTGATATCTTTTTCCGTGGTCGACTTATCCACTTTGTTGATAAATAATGGTACATTAACGTTTGCAACCTTAAAGTTAGATTCAGGCTGTACTTGCGCCTTCCCTTTACGACCAATTAATTTATTTTTCAACCTTTTTCTCTGCACTAACACCCAATCCTGATCTATATGTTCTTTTTTATTCCACTGTCCGTCGTTATTATTTAAAACTTCCGCCATTGTTTTTGACTTGGGCCACGCGTTAATAGTTGATTTCGAACGTTGCACATCTTTTGTCTTCTTTTCACAAGTCCTTATGTCTCTTGCCGTCTCGTCGTTGTCGCACGCACGTGCTACTGGTTGAGAGCAAGATGAGATAGCGTCATGTGGTCCTTGTTGACGAGAAAGAGAGCGAAGACAAGTTGATTCACAGGTGTTTTCAGTGTTGCTAATTGGCGTCGTATTTACATCAATATGCGGTAGGCCAATAGGTCCACTATCCAGTCCGCAGCTATCGA